GTGCACATTTGTAAGATCGATCTTTCTGCATCTTTTCTTAAGATATATGTGGAAGGGGTAACACAACTGGTTCCTGGAGATATGAACGCATAAATTTTGCTGTGAAGTTAAGCACTTCCATTAACCTACCTCCAAAAGTATGTCCATCTCACGATAAGGGTGTGCACCCAGCAAATTTTGAAAGAAGCACTCGGTGTGGGAAGTTAGGATATTCCAACAACAACAGAAATCAGACCACTGGGCACTCTGGAGTGTTTGATCTTGATTTACAGGAAGGATTTATGGCATCAAAGAGGCACCATTAGAACAAACTGTTTTAGAAAAGTTGTAAACAGTTATTTTTTATGTTATATCCTTTTTGGGGGTATTTATGAGGAAGAACAGCCTCATATTTTGTTGTTCCAAATATAGCTGCATTTTGAAAAGGCTTTTGTAGCTGTTCATACCTGGCGGGGGTCTCCATTTCAAACAGCTTTTCAGCAGTAGTTTTTGGCAGGAAAAAGAATAAGCTGTTTTGACTAACTGTTTTGTAAGTTGTCCATTCTTATTGCATCAGCATTAATTATTCTTGATGGATTTGTCCTACAAGAACCTTACAGCAGCTTCTGACAGGTGGAGCTATCTTTTATGTCAGCAGTGTGAGCTTTGGAAGTGAAAGCTTGATTAAGTGAATGTTTGGTTATTTTTAGACAATGAGATATTCTCTCATTAAAAGGAAAATGTCTGATAACATAGGCCTGGAAAAGATAATTTGATCTTTATTTGAAAAAAAGATTTCAATTTACCATTCAAAATGAGTAAACAGACATGATTTAATTATATGACAGATAACATCTTCATTTGAGCTATATATATATTTCCCCCAAGTAAAAGGTTGAAGGGGAGTTAAAGAAAAAGAGCCTTCTTAAATATTCCATTTTAGTCAGGCTGAAAGATTAAAAGTGTCCACTAAAAAGGATTAAGTTCAGCTGCACTTGTTGCTACAGTCAAATATCAGGTTGTACTGCTGCTTTTCTGTTGCTGCATCAGCCAGTCTCTTTCACTCTGTGGCACTCTGCTCCCATGATTGCAGGGGCCTAAGTTGAATGCACCCTTTTCTCCATCGCTGTAGTGGTACACAAGTTTCAGAGAGTATTTCTGCTGTTCCTCAAGAGTTTCTACCCAGAACTTCTCTCCAGGTCCAACTACACATTATGCTTACAATATAGTATATAGCAGTTCCTTGGTTTGTGGTGTGGGGAGGGGGAGGTGCACGTCCTAACCTAACCATAGTGAGAAGAGAGGGGAAGTGTACTCCTTTCCTAATCTGGACTAGTCAGAAGAGAAATTGCCCCATATTCATGTCCAGGAGCTTTAGAAAACAGCTTCTTTGGGGCCAATGCAAAGCTCCCCCCCCCCCCCCCCCCCCGAAACTTCTAGCTGACTGGGAGATACAATTTCTCTACTGATTGGGCCTGTGGATATAAGAAGTACACCTTTCCTTACTTCATGTTGCATATTCCTTTCATGTAGGAATTATTCATGGTTCATGAGCACACAGTCTATTAAGCATCAAAGCTACATGTGATCCAATAAGTGCAATGAATGCTTTCTCCTTTACTGCTGTTTTTAGGTCTGGGTAGGGATCTGCAGTTCTGGGAAATCTGTTTAGTTTGAGCTTCCCAGCATTTCCATCTGCTAGTCAGAAATGGACAGTACCAGGTTCTTTTTTATTCTGTTACTGTGTGTGAAGTAGTTGAGCATGTTGAGAATCATAACCTGTGCATTTGTAGCACCATGTTTGAATATGGCGGTTTGTATAAATCAGGTCTACTGGACAAAAGGCATCTGAATCTTTAAATTTGCATAAGTGAGTTGCATTTGTAAAACCATTAGGTAACCCTGTTGCAGCTTATTCCCTTGGCCATTATTCTTGCTAGTTTCATTCTCTCATTGATTCATTATTAGTGTGCCCTTTTACTGTTTTGCAAAGAACTGGCCATTGTCAATTCTTCCTAGTTCAGTATTGCAGGATGATTTCATGATTTGTGCTTATCAAATAGAAACATTTTAAATTTATTTTCAGTTATTTTCCAGCTCCCATGATTTGTGCAACTGGAGGCATGGGTTTTTAGTCCTTTCCCTCTTCATCATTCTTCCTATTGATATTACACACACGACATCTGATTCCTTATGACAGTATATTTGTTCCAAAATAATACTGTGCATTGTGTTCACTTGAGAATGGTTATACTGTTGTATTTTGATTTGTTTTAAACAACATGATAGGTCTTACTGGTGAGACAGCCAGCTCAAGTCACATCAGTCCTGTGAAATACACAATTTTTCACAGCTTTGAGATGCTCAGAAATGTAGGGCTGTACAGTTTGGACAAATTCTCTGTCCAAATTGAAAAACAAACTTGTGCAAAAAATGGCAGGTTTTACAAGTATGCTGCCCCAGCAGGTCAAGTTGGTGCTATCATGGGGGAAATGGAACAGAATTTAGAGGGCTGAGTCAGGTAAATCATTGGATTTTCACCCTGAAAAAGATGCCTTGCACTTTTCTAGGTTTGGAACATGCAAATTAATAGTAAGGAAATGCTGTTGAATCTGTGCAGAAAGTCTTACTGCTGGGTGGCAAGAAAAAAACTGAAATTAAAGGGGAGATGGGCATATACAGAATGAAAGCCAAATATGCTGTCTGGGAACAATGAAATAGGAACACTGGATTTTAGAAAGAAACAATGCATACCACTGACTTTGCTTCACTATTTTCATAGCAACTAGAAGGGTGGGTCCTGAACTATTAGAGTCATATGTAAACATCAGTCCTAGTGCTGTCCTTGTATCTGCCCCAATTGTTCCAATAATTTTATTGAACATCAATCAGCTAGCTTCTTGTTTGTTTTTCCCTTTCCCTTTAATGGAAGTCATATCAATATTCCTGTAAGAAGTATATACAAACACTATTTGGGGGAATGATGGGATACAAATTAAGCAAAGAGAGAATTTATATGATTAAAAAACCTCAAGGTTGCTTGTTTCCCTAAATGTGCATTATGGATGAATCTTTGGTATTTGGTAGTAAAACTCAGATAGGTGAGAACTCATAGAAACATTGAATTGGAAGGGGCCATTGAGTCCAATCCAGATCATTCCAGGAATCCAGCTTAAAACATCCCTGACAGATGGCTGTCCAGTCGCTGCTTACATACCTCCAATAAAGGGCAGCCTACTAACTTCCTAGGTAGCTGGTTCAATTGTCTGACTGCTATGACCATTATGAACTTTTCAATGAAGTTCAAGTTCAGTTGGTTTGTTGGTTAAACATGTGCTGATGTTTGTGTGGGATTTAATGCTGCTTTCTGTCACAAGGTAATACTCATGGAAGCAGCAAGCAATCCTATGATGACATCCACATAGCACTATATCATTCTATTAGCTTCCCAATAAAAGGTTTGCAAGTGTAATACCTATTTTAGACTGGGTGTTCTGTAGATATTATGGACTTCAGCAACAATCAACCCCAGCCAGTATGATCAATGGTAAGGAATTCAGGAAATTTAGTTATTTCATTTTTATACTGCCCAGTAGTCAAGGCCCTCTGCTTGGTTAACAAATGTCGAAACAAAACAAAACATAAGCCTAAAACAGAAACACACACAAAATAGTACTAGCTTAAAAGACAAAACCACAGCTTTTCCATTTCAAGATTGAGAACCATTTTCTTCTATTACACACAAACACATATTGGACATAGTTTTACCCACTGGTTTTCCCAGCCTCTCTCTCTTCTCCGTCTCCCTTGCCAAGCATGCATGGAAACACTTTCCCTCCTTTTCTTTTCTTCCCATTTGGCTGGCTGGCTGGCTGGCTGGAATACACCAGAATGCCAAACTCCAGCTGCCCATCCTTCCTCCTTTCCTCTGAAAGATGCTCTGGGATGTGGGCCCAAAGACACTCTGGGCAAGAAAAAGGGGTGGGGAAGTACAGCAGGACTCCACTGCTTTTCAGCCATCTGTGGTAAACATTTGGTTTATTTCATATTACCAATTAATTAAGAATAGTTGGACTCCAAAACATCTAGGAGGCGTAAAGATGGGGAAGATCACCTGTGCACTCCAGTTCAGAGAGAAATTTACCTTAGCAAATGCCAGATGGCTACATGCAAACCTGGGTAACCAGCTGCAGAAACAAACCCTAAAATGTAAACTGGTTGATGAAACTCATATCAACTGGCTTACTTGTATATGGAATGGGTTCAATGAATGCTGTATTGATGTAGCTGGCTTGTGTGATATATAAGGGCTTGCACAAGCTCAACAATACTTTCCTTTTTTCTTTTTCAGCTATGTAACAATAGCCTTCCAGAAATAGTGTAAAAACCATGGGGTCTATGGACCTTTTCCCTTGAATGCTTGAGTGGTAAGCACTCAAGCACTCAAGGTACTGGGAAAAATTAGAGCTGCTGCACTTTTTCCCAGTCCTGGTTCCATCTCAGGATCACTGACTTCTCCGTGCCTACTTTGGACAAGAGGGAGGTGCAGCAGTTTCAGTCCCACTTGTGCCTCTGTTTAATTGAAAGTATTATTACATTGCACTTGTATTCTTTTTCATTCTTGTGAAGCATCAAAGGTAGCTTATATTGCTCCATTTTTATCCACGTAACAACAACACCGTGAAGTAGGTTAAGCTGAAAGGCTGTGATGGGCCTAAAGTCATCCAGTGAGCTTCATAGCCAAGTGGAAACTAGAACCTGGAACTCACAAGTCCCTGGTCCAGCATTCTAACCACCACGCCAGGCCATCTCTGAGTGAGGATCTGGCAAACCTTAGTAGCATCTAAGGCTATATTCCTGTGCACACTTACTAGGTGTGAGACTAAACTGTACTGAATATAGGGGGATTTGCTTATGAGTAGGCATGCATAAGTTTGGCAGCACAAGACAAAAGATGCTACAGATTTCTCACCATTGAAGAGCAATATTTTTTTCCTGATAACCTTTTTGTCCATTTTCAGCTTTCTAAGAAGTATGGAGTCCATATCTGTGGAGAAGGTGGAGAATATGAAACGTTCACATTGGATTGCCCTCTATTTAAGAAGAAAATAGTTGTGTAAGGAACTGTACCTTCCCTTTCCTTTAAATTTTAGCTCTGGGAACATATTAATGTTTAGCTTGAGGCCACTTCTGTTGGCAGCAGCAGAACATGTCCTCTAAGTTCACAAACACTCACTTTGTTTAACACTGGCAAAGTCCTCCACTAACCTAAATCAATGCCTGACAAGACGAGGCCTTCATAGAAAGCTATAAACTTTTTAGACATTTGCACTTTCGTTTACTTGCTGATTATGGCCTGCAGTAAAACTGGTACCTACACACTGACACTTTTATCCTTTCATGAAGTGCGAATTGCCTGTAATATTTATCTTTCATTACAGCTACATTTGATAAACTGCCACATCAGTAGCCTGTGGGTTCCATTAACTCTGTTTCCCTTCTCATTCTCTCTCTCTCACTCTCTCTCTCTTCCCCCTTTTTTCATTTTAACATTAGCAACTTAGGATGATAATGCTAAACATTTTGCCTGAATTACCAAAGGATGTTTTTGAATGTTAATGTTTTGAATCAGTCCAATTTGCAATGAGTAGATTATTTCTTTGCCATAAATTCTTAAAATATATATAGGGAAGTATGGGGAACTTCTTTATCCCTATGTAGATTTTTAGTACAATTATGCTAAATAACCAAGGCTGCCTGTATTAAAGGATATATTTTGACTGCTATTATACCTCTTCCATCTGAGTTTACAGATTGTCTAATAAAACAGTATCACTGTCTGCGCCACACCACTTTTAGACCAATAATTGCAGTGAAGGGGGTAATTTGATTACGATCTACGAATGACTCACTTGGGACTAGCCCAGTTGGCTGTACTTGTGCAAAATGGTTTTGAGGATCATATTACTTGGAATATTTCAGGCATAAAAGCTACCCTCCCAATAAACACAGAATTGATCTGGGCTGAATTTGTGCCAGCTAAAAATGCCCTTAAGGGTATATATCTGTATAATACTATGTTACTGCTGAGTGAGGATCTGCAAAACAACAGGGTCATGCATAGGCTTCCACATGCTGTAAAAGCTTCCACATGCTGCTGATGCTTTGCATCTTAGGTTGAATTGTTTAGATCAGGGTATTTACAGGTTTTACAGAGCCTTTGTACTTAGTAATAATACCCTAGTTGCTAAGAGTTTGAGCTGAAAGTCCCTAGTTCAAATTGCAACTCAGTCACAAAGTCTTCAGTGTCATTTTCACTTCCAAATTTGTACCTTCCTAAGGAAATGATGTTTCTGTTTATTCAGGGGTGCCCTTGAAACATAGGATAGTACAATCCTGTGTATGGTTAGATGGAAAAAAACTTATTCAGCATAAATATGCATAGGACTGAACTTAAAATATATGCTGAAATGCTTTAATTGCAAGTCTTCTGGAGGTGTCTGCTGGCATATGGAGTAAGGCAGTGAGCTACTATGGAGAGGGCCAGTTGGAGGAATGGAACATTCTCCCCAGAGAGGTTGCCTGGAGTTCCTTATTGTCTTTTGGTGCCAAAGATATATTCTCAAGGTGTTTATATGCTGTTTTAACACCACTGACTGAGTTGTGCTGCTTTTATGATTTGTGGCTTTTCATTTATTATATTTTTGTACATACATTTTGTGTGTACTTTGGAAATATAGTGGAATGGTGGTATGAAAATACTTACAGTGAATAGTGATAAATATTCTGGAACAATCCTTGATGGGCACTTATCAGAACATTTCATTTATTAATTAAATATCTCACCTTTGCACTACAATTAGTGGTCAAGGTGACCAACAATAAAATATAGATGAAACATAAAAACTCATCAGATAAAACAGCAATAAAATAAAACAGAAAGAAGAAAGAAAAATTCTTCCTTTCCATGGACATCCCTGAAGCTTATGAACAAGACAATAAACCAACAATAAAATGCAGCCAGCTTAAAGACAGGCAAATAAATCAGCAAGAACAACAGCTTAATTACTCTACTTCAAATGCTGCTTTAAAAGTGTTGATTTTTTTCTGCTGCTTTAAAGAGGCAATCAGAATGGACAGATAGGTCTTTGTACCCAAAGTTTAGGTTTATAGAGAGGATATTGAACTGACACTGACTTGCGTCCAGTGGTGTCCATGTGCTAGTGCAAAAGGCAAGACTTTGCACAAGGCAAGACTTCCAGGTTTTGATTATTCCCCTCTCTTTCCTGTAGCCCTTCATGCCTTTTCACACACAGATTCCCCAATCTTAGGGAAGAACTTTTGAGGAGCCACAGAGGTGACAAAGAATTGTGTACATAAGCAAAATAAGGAACCCCACCTTGAACAAGCTGAGGTACTTTCCATTGTGCAAGGCCACTATTGGTTCTAACTCACTATCATTATTCTGTTACCAAAAATGCTGATATTAGGCATATGCTGGCGTATAGTTTTTCTGTTAAAACTTAAGTCATGACATTCAGTATGTGATGCTCTGCATGTTTATTACCCTCACACACACTTTGTTGAGTGTGACTGCACTCATTTACAGCACACAGTAAAGATAGATCCTGTTACAAAGGAACTAGTCATATCTTTCCTTTTCCTTTTTTCGGCTATGGGGAAACTACTTTTGAAACCCTTAACTTCTGCTGCTCATGCCTTTTTCTGCCAGACAGCTTGGAATAAGTTCCCATTGCCTGCTGATGCTGCAGAATCAGTTTGTACCACTGACAAAAGGCTACCAGTACATAGTCTGCTACTATTCCTGATGCCAACCTTGCTCAACCTGATGCCCACCAAATGTTTTGGATTCCAGTGCCCATCAACTCCCAGCCAGGATGGGCTATGCTCAGGAATGCTGAAAAGTATAGTTCAAGATACCAAGTTCTGGAGGCTGGCTTATAGAATGGGCTCAGGGGCTCAAACTGCTAATAAATGGCAACATAATTACAAAGATTTTTGGAAAAGATTTTATGTGTTCTACATTCTGTTGTTCTTTATCCGCGGCCTTCCTTTGCAAAATCTAAGGGAGGCCTGGAAAGAGGCAACATGGGAGACAGCCTTCTTGGTGGTGGTCCCCCATTGTGAAATGATCTCCCCATTGAAGCCCACCAGGTGCCAACATTGTCATCTTTTTCTCCTTAAGTTAAAACCATCTTTTCAGTAATATGGTGGGATAGGTCAGCTGTTTTACTCAGGACTGGTTTTATTGAAATTGTTTTAATTGTTTTAAATGCTTGAACTGAGCTTCCATGTAGCCTGAAGTGCCTGATCCTGCCTAATCTTGGAAGCTAAGCAGGGTCAGCCTGGGCAGAAGCGGGATGGGTGCCCTGGATGTATGATTCTGTGATTATTGCTGTCAACTGCCTAGAGAGCTTTGGCTATGGGCAGTATAAAAATGTAATAATAATAATAAAAAATAACTGTTTAAAATTTTGTATATTGGAATTTTACACTGTGTTTTATTGTATTTGTACTTTTATTGTACCAATTTTTGTTATGGTACTATGATACATTATTATGAACTGCCCAAAGACCTCTGGCTATCGGGCAATATAGAAATAACATTAACAGTAATAGTAATACTGCTTTTAGCTGAAACTTGCAAAAATAAAGATGAAAATGAAGCAATTGTTAGTGTTCTGTGTACTCTCAAATACATATTTATGATTCTGTGTTACAGGGATTCATCAGAAGTAGTGGTACATTCAGCAGATGCATTTGCGCCTGTGGCTTATCTTCGTCTTTTAAAATTGCACCTAGAAGATAAGGCAAGTACAACATTTCAATTTTATATACTTTTATTAATCTTCTATGCCATACAAAGTCTCAGAGCAGGTAGCAATGATTTTGTACAAACACTGCCTCCCACGCAGAAAATATCAAAATAAAAACTGATAAAACCTGCTGAACCTTAATAGTACTAATATTGGCATAAAATGTGGTCAGCACAAATGAGCCCAAATGTAAAGGCCATGAAACATTTCAGAGTTGATGCTTTCAGACTGCAAGAAAGGACAGCTTCTGGGCCTATCACTCCCATGATCCTTCACCATTGGCTATGCTGGCTTGAGCTGATGGAAATTGTAAGCCACATGTTGTCCTCCTCTGTTCTGTTGAAGGAAAATGAGCACAAGTTGCACAGTTGGCCAAGAATTCCTTTGACTGTATCTGCAGGTTAATTACTCTGGTAGTCCAGCTTTAATGTACATATGCTGTGAAGTGTTAAGAGAGCACTTTTGGGTTGCTGTACAGATAATGATGATCAGTAGTAATAACTAAGATATATTAACTGAACAGTGCTGATGCCAATCCTGGGGCACCCTAACAGTCACCCTGTTATTTTGCTCCTTTGGAAAGCTTCTGAGGAGCTATCAAAGGCAGTTTATCAAATATAAATTGCCGTAATCTGTCTCGAGGGTTAAAGAATGGCAATTGCAAATCTGGGCCTGAGAACAAGATTTACAAGAGGGTTTAGAGGCCCCCATTAAAGAATGCAGAAGAAAAGTTGTAAGGCTTTGTAGGCTAGCCCTGCCCTGGACACTCTGGCCACCAGAGTGGCTGAATGCATGTGCTGCTGTGCGATCATAGAGTTTCTCCACAAGAAAACAGAATCCTTTCAATCAGAATCTCCCCTTGCATGGGAATGCCTGGGTGTGCCCATAGAACCCCCATGATGCTGTCCATCTGTATGGATGGTGTGGCCTCTGGATGTTTTGGGAATGGGAGCAAGGCTAGCTTGCAATCCGGTGCATTCTTTTAGTGTCTGAACCCGCCGTGATCTTCCCATCAGAACAGATTGTGAAGAAGATTTTGGGTGTGGTTATGAACTTTATTAGCAAGGGAAGATTGCACTGTGTCATTACTGAGTGCTTCATCTCTCAACCTAATCCATTAGAACACATGTGCATTTAAAAAAAGCATTTCACATGTGTTTATGTGTATCCCATAAACTCCAATGCATCTGAGATTAGCTGACTATGAAGAAAGGATTTCACTGTTCTATTTATGCAGTTCTTCCAATGTAACATGAAGCTACCTAATAGCTTCTTCTGAGCAAAGTTCATGTAAGAGCTACCAATGCCATGTTGATAGAGAAGGAAAGCAGCTGTTTTTTGAAGAACTGCAAGTTGGCCCTTAGTATTGCTTTGAGGATCAAATATTCTGCAACAGCAGTTTAATGTTGTCTTTGAAGACATGGTGGAAGTGATTCGTAACCCTAACACCTGTAACTAAACTGGGCAATGTGTTGATATTTTAACACTTGGGAGGAATCTGCTTCTCCCTCCCCCCTTTTTTTTCCATGAATGGGCTGCCATGTAGAAACAATGGCATGCAATTGCAGAAATTATACCATGGTCTCTTTTAGCCTGGTTTGAGCATTTATTGTGATTATTAATGAGAAGCAAAACATCTTGCACCTGTTATATGTAGCTTCTGCATCTATTAATTCAGGATTATACAACAAGGATTCATGGTATGTGGAAATAAAGATTTTTAAAGAGACATGATACGCTGCAAATATTTGTTTTGGGAGACAAAACATACTGATAGGCTGATCTGATCCAGCCTGTTCAGAGATTTTTAATGAAACCTCAGGAGATTTTATTTGCAGGAGAGCTGGCTTCACTGTAGTGTCTAATAATACAAGTGACCCCATTTATTGTTGTCATTGAGGGAAACTTGCTGTTCTGGAAAGTCAACTAAGAGAAAACCAGAAATCCTACAAAAATAGTGGTAGCATCAAGAGTTAAGGCATTCTTGTGCTAAATATCAGTTTTGTGGGATGTGTGTTGTAGGGGACTGATCCAGTGTTGCACGAATAAACTCTGCTTGGGTGGTAGAAGGTTCTGTTTCTCATCTCTGGAAAAGAATTGGGGTTGTGTGAAGGGCTGCATTGAGGAAGGGGAAATCGAATCTTGCAGTGGTTCCCGTTCTGCTGGCAGAAAGATACCATTCATCCAACCATATATCTTTGAGCCTGTTCAGGAGAAAAACTGCTTCCTGTAGGTTACTTAGGCTTCCACGCTGCCGTTTTCTCTCTCCAGACTGCCCTTAAAGTAGCTTTTACCTACCATGGAGTTCTAAGTAAAAGAGAAATTATAGATGGCCCTGACATTTCCCTTTCTGTCTGCTACCATTGTTCTTGGAATTCATTGAGTTAAATTCTACTCTGAACTACAATATCCATCTTTTTGTTGTTATTAGTACATAGGACACAGACACTGTGAGTAATAATTGTGCCAATCATTGTATTTTTAAAAAACTAACTCATTTTTGGAGGACGTATAGATATATGCTACAATAGGTGTTATACGGGAAAGAGATTCTATACCTTTGTCAAAGAGAAACACAATTCATTTTTAAAAAAAATTTCTCCTTAGATATTTTTTCCCCTTTCCCAATACCATGTTCACCATCCTCAAATGTGCTGTTTTAGTACATACCTTGTTTGACAAAGATCTCTTTTTTTAACAGCATAAAGCCTTAAAATATTACCATGAGACTGAAAATTATGCCAGTCGACTATGTGAAGTGAAACCAAATAAGCCGAATAAGAGAACACTCTTGGAGAGGGGAGAAAAAGTGGAAATATATTAATATTTCTTAGGGGCACTGACTTTATTGCTCATGGCAAACTTGATGCTAAAATGCTCCATACATCACTACAATGTGACAGGCTAGGGAAAATGAAAAACACAAAGCTTTACATAAATCAGGCAAAAAATCATATTAAAATGCATAACATTTTATATAAGAATCAAGATTTTACTTTTATCTATTCAGAAGCTCTTTCCCCCTTCTTATGTAGATGTTTAAGATTTTGTTAAAGCCCCACAGTTTCAAGCAGTTTTATAGCAAATCGTATTTCAAATTCATTGTAGACAAAGCTGTCATATTCTTAAAGAGCTAGCATTTATGGAATTGTAGTTGAGAATTTGGTATATACACTTAATGTCTTGTAGAATTAAGGAGGAAAATAGTTTGTTTTGTACTGTGATGGAATCACAACAAAAGGCATTGCAATCTTCAGATTAATTTATTTTCTGTCATGTTATAATAAGCTATGTTTTCAATAAATGGTAACTATGGAGGGGCCTTTGGTCTTTCAAGAGCATAATGCATCACTGATTTAAAAGTTTAACCCCTTAAGACCTAAAGAGCTGTTCATATTGACAAGGCAGGGATTTTTCATCTTTAGTAACTTTCTTTCCTTTTTCTGTATTTCATTTTTTTCTCCTGAAGTCCTTCATTATTTGAAAATATTAACATATTTTAATGTAAAACATTCAGTGGTCTCAGTCTAAGCCCAGTGGAACATCTTGCATACTAAGCATACAGTTGAGTATCCTTAATGGAATTTAAGCAGGCTTAATTGTGCGCCAGATTAAAACCAATGCAAATAGCTTAACTATTTAGTCCTGTAATAAAAGGAAAACAACCGCCTCAGATTTCTAAAATATAATTATGTTATATCTTTAACAGAATTAATAGAATGTTAATATCCCCTAGCAGAAAATAATATTGCATAGATTTAACCTACACATAGTTTCTTTTTCTACTGTAGTTATCCTGTCTGAAGTGTAAGTTGTCTAAATTAATTTGTGACTTTGTAATGTAACCTATTTAGAATATAAGTGCAATCTTATACATGTCTACTAAGTAGAAAGTCCCACTGATAACAGTGTGACATGTCCAGATAAGTGTCCCTTAGAAAGCTCAAGCCTTTAGGGGTCACTGAGAAACTAATTCAGACTATCCACTGAATCTGTTGTTATCTCCTGAAATAAACTACCACTGCTTTTGATTTTGACTGGTAAGTCTTTCCTTCTAAATTTGGCTCTGTAATGCAAAGCTAGGATGTGGTGTGAGAAATGCTTTATGTTAGAGATGCTTATCATACTGACCTGCATTTCACTTTGTTTATACTTTTAAGCAGGTCTGATTGGTTTGCGTTAACTTAATAAAACTTGTACAGTTAGCAAGCCATTGTTTGGTCTGCTTGGAAGGAGGTGAAGTGTTGCTTTGACAATCACCAGTTTTTTTACCTATGCTCCTCTCTCTCTCTCCCCCTTTTACATAGTCTTCATCATTTCTTTGTCTGTATGTGTCTCTCTTAACTATCACTTCTCGGCTGAAACTCTCTACCTGCCACTCATCCTGGCTCCACCCATCATTCTGTTGCATTCTCCAGGTGCCAGTGATTTCTCCATTCATATGTCATAATAGGAGTCCTTACTGTTCAATTACTTTTGTCAAGTTACTAGCTCATAGAAAATATGGAATTTTCAAGATAGGGTGTTCTCTACCAAGTGTTAGTCTTGAGAACAGTTTTCCTAGCTTCCTCTCAAAGATGCATATGCAGGGTCAAGGAGAAAATGGGAGAATATATAGATTTTTTGTAATGTGAGCCACAAGTCAGACACACATGCAAATATAATGCAAATACATGGATATTTTTTCCTACTCACTTTTTAGGACTACTTTATACATTAGAGCAATCATTGATATTCTTCTGTTTACATCTGTGCTGGTCATGTCATATAACTTCTGAGAACTACATATTATCTTAAAAAACAACCTGATGTATGACATCGTATGACCATCAAGAATGGACTCTGGATTTCTGTGACATAAAGACACAAGGTTAGGTCCCTAGCACTGGTTGTACAAGTAGAAAGTATTTCAGTTCATTCAAGAGGTGTTGGATTACTCTACGCTATGTCTTGTACCATCTTCAGGTTTCTTCCAGTCCTTTCAAATGACGTTT